TTGCTGTTCTGTTGTACGCCCTTAGTGTTTTGCCTCGGTGTGGTGGGATCAGATCGGGCAGAATTCCTACACTGTGTCTCCAGTGTTGTCCCCTGTAGGGCTATGGGTAAGTGAGGGATCCTGTCTAATAGTGGGGCCAGCCATGTGGTCTTCTCTGTGGATTTGCTGCTCTGAGTGGGAATATCGGCTTCAAGGCTTGGTGGGCCTGGGTGTGCTCTACTCTCCCTTCCTCCCCCTTCATTTGCTCCCGTGTGTTCTGATCATGCATGTCCCTCTCCTGGAGCTGCTGATTCAGTGCTGTCCTCTGAAATAAATTCTTCTGTGGGGAGGGAAAGGTGTCCACGTAGTTGAGATTGGGCCTGGCCCCTCAGACCTCTCCACTGGTTCCCTACTCCATGCCGGCATGTTGCATTCACATCTTGGAGCACTGGGTTGAAGTCTGGTCCTTCTTTCCCTGTGGAGATATAAACAATATCCTCCCCTTGGGTAGGTTAGTGCCCTGTTCCCCCGCTACCCATTTCTTTTTAATCCCCCCCACCTCCTTTTTAGTTGGCTACCATATGTATCACTGGATTTGGTCTGGCCCCTGCCATACTACCTGGTACTCACTCCAGGAATGTTTGTATACAGTAGCTTTATCCCTATGCCCCTTTTGCATTTTTTTAAAGCTTACCTCAGCAGACTCATGTTGTACTTGTCCTTTTGTGCTTGGCTTACTTCGCTTAGCATGGTTTCCTCCAGTTCTTTCCATGCAGCAATGTGCTTCATACATTCATCATTGCTTTTTCGTGATGCGTTGTACTCCATTGTATGTACGAACCACGTTTTTTTAATCCACTCGTCACTTGATGGAAATTTGGGTTTTTTCCAACTCCTTGCAATTGTGAACTGTGCCACAATGAACATTGGAGCACAGATGTCTGGCCTTGGTTTGTTTCTTGCCTCTTCTGGGTATATGCCCAGTAGGGGTGTTGCTGGGGCGTATGGTAACTAGATTTCCATCTGTTTTAGATATCGCCAGATGGATTTCCATAGTGGCTGTACATTCTTACAGGTCCACCAGCAGTGGATGAGAGTTCCTGTCTCCCCACAGACCCTCCAACACTGGTTGCTTTCTAATTTTTTGAATTGGGCTATCTTTGAGGGTGTTAGGTGGTATCTCATTGTTGTTTCTCTTATGGCTAAAGATCGGGAACGTTTTTTCATGTTTGTTGGCAATTCAGATTTATGCCCCTGTGAAACTTCTGTTCAGGTTCTTTGCCCACCTCCTCAGTGGGCAATTCTTTTTTTTCTTTCTGGAAGCTAGCAGGGTATTGCAGATTTTAGTAATAAGACCTTTTTCTGATGTGTCATTGCTAAAGATGTTTTCCCAGTCTGTGGACTTCTTATTACTCTCTTGGCGAATTCTCTCAATGTACACAGGTGTTTTATCTTCAGTATATCCCATTTGTCAATTTGTGCCTCCTCTGTGTTTGTGTCCTTCCCTATTTATGATAGTCTAATGTATTCCCTGTGCCAAAGTTCTCAAGTT